CCTTTCAGCATTGCAGGGGAGGGTGTTCTGTGAGTAGGCTAAGGGAGAAGGATGGAGAAATTTTCCTGCTTCAGGGACAAAATAGTCCCTGGCAACTGCTGCTGTGGCATGGTCTGTTTGCTGGAGGGAGTGGGCTGCACTCTCCTTGAATTCTTAGATCTGCCTATGACTGCATCCAGGTACGTGTACTTACGTTTTCCAATTCTTTTTGCTGATCACTTCAACTTTTTAGTCAGGTGAGAGAGTTTTTGGATCTTGTCATCATTCAAGTGTATACATCTTGCTTAGTCATCTTTATAAGGCTTTTATATGATTTAAGAGTTGGAAGCTTGGAGCAGGCCCTGCTGAAAGCAGTCTTCCTTTACCAGAAACTCATCTGAACTTGTCAGCTTGTCTATTCTTCAGTGATTTATAAACAGTTAAGTCTAAGGTTATAGCATACTGAAAATAGCAGCTGGACAAGTGAATTCTGTGATATAGTCTTAGTACAGCAATTGGACATTTGAAAGATCATAGCTATGTTGGGCTGAATTTCCTGACTTAAAATGGCATTTTCAGTGGAAAATATGAAACTTGTGTTGCTTGGTTTATAATTTCTCAAAAGTCCTCCATTTTGGGTCTGGAATTACTTATGATTGTTTTCAGTCCAAAAGTTAATTTTTATAAGTCAGTTAAAATGCCAGTCAGATATTGAGAAATGTCACATGGATGTTTTGGAGGAGTTTTATATATTTTCTTTCAAATAAGAAAGAAACAAAAACCCAATGAAATAATACAGCTGTATTTTAATTGTACAGAAATAATGGAGTTCTTGTTCTTGCCTCTTTTCATTAGACTAGGGTTTTTGGGGAGAATGAATGCTTTACATCTAATTGCATGCTCCAATCATCACTTGGAACAGGGGTAGGCAACCTGAGCCGTGCATGCCGTAAGTGGAATAGGTAGCCTCCTGTATGTGGTACACAGCAGATCAAGGAACACATCAATAGAAAGAGCAGGGAACAGAAAGCAGAGAAAGAGATCAAGCAAGGGAGTACAGGAAAGATAGCAGAAAGCAGAGGAAGAGATCAAGCAAGGGAGTACAGGAAAGGGAGCAGAAAGCAGAGCTGCTGCAGAGCAGAAGGGGGAAGAGGATTGGAATGGTACTCAGGGGATTATCTGGTGGTGTGCCTGCCACACAGCTTATTTTCCAAACCAGTGGAGAACAATTCTCTCTCTCATCTTCCACCCTCTTCCTACCCATCTATTTATAGTGGCATGTATGTAATAAATGTAACTGGAGCAAGGATAAGCTAAAGTACTGGGGCTAGAAATCTTCATGTTACTAGTTTTGATCAGTGATGATACAGATATTCAAAGTTTTGCGCCCACCATGAAGGAGACTTATTTTCTTTCCTTCCATTTCGGTGTTCATAGAATTCTAATTGACCAAGCTGTTCAGGATAGTTAGTACTTTGGGGAGTCTGTTACTTTAACTCTGAAAGTTATATGTGAGGGGTCTCCCATCTGTTTTGCAGATGAAATCTTGTGTGTCAGGACTGGATTTGGCTGCATCGGTTGCAATTCTGCTTAGAAGATGTAAAGTTGGTGTAAAGTTGTGGTTTCTAAAGACGGCTTAAGAATGTTGAGCTATAATTCTGACCTGGGCCTTTGTCTAGTTAACTCCAATGAAGAGAGGTTGGATTCATGATTTAGAAAGTTAGTAAATTTCTGAAGAAGAGCAAAGTGCTGGCATATCTTAAAATAACATTTGCTTAGAGATCTGAAGGAACTACTACTTGCCACTTATTTCCTATGTCTTTTTTTCAAGGAAGTCATTGAGAATGTCGAGAGAGAGCAGCTCTGGGAATGCCTAGAGCACTGAGATTTCTGTGGTACCATTACAAACTTGGTTTTAGATCTATTATTGAGATAGTTATAACTAGTTTCGTTGGCAGATGGATTCCCCTCTTGGCAACCAACAAAGGCAAAGTGTCCATATTAAATATATTAGCTGGCTCTTAAAGTTTTTGATGTATTTGTTCACTACAACAGGATTTCATGGTGTTGCTTGAGTGCTTTTTTCTTCTGCCTTGTGGGAACCTAAAGGGTGGTATTGTGTGATTGCTAGTCTGGCTGAGGACTCTCATGTATCATGCCAAAAGGACGTATTCTGTCACCTTTTGTTGAATGTGTCTGTTGGGAATACTGTGTTGTTTTCACACCTGTAGTGCTTGCAGTATGCTAATGACACTGCTGTGTTAGTCCTCTTCGTTATATACAAATGCCATACCTACTCAACATTTTCTGCCCATAACCAGGACCAGGAGGAGTGCAGTTTCTGGATGAGGTTTGAAATTAGTACCTGGATGAGGGTTTAACCCAGTTATAAGATGATGTGATGCTGATTGTTGGAACTGGATTACAACCAGAGCGGGTGTTAGAGTTGATAGGTATCCCCTTGATGGAAAGAATTTGCCTTCTATGAATAGGGAGCATGGTTTTGGATCCTGATCGATTTTCCCCCCCCCCCAATTACTCTGACATTACAGGTGCTTCTCTTGATGCAGATTTTGTCTTGTATATGTTTTTGTTGCCTCTAGATTAGGTTACTGTTTATGCTGTATTTTTCAATAATACCTGAAGACCACCCAGAAACTTCATCTAGTAAAGAATACAACTATACACCTTTTTCAGTGGTACTTTCCACAATCTGCTGGATTGCCATCAGCTGTATTAACTTCTTTCTTTGCTTTTGAAGGCACTAAGGTGCTGGTTTTGACCTTAAAAACCTTTTATATTTTAGTCTGCCAACCTCAAAAACTTACTGTTAGTGTTCAGAACAGGAGGGAACAGCTCTGGCACCCAAGGTAGCACACGCACATCATCCCACTCAGATTGTAACAAGTGAGCTGATGCAAGGACATTTAAAGCAAAGCTCCATCAACTCTGGAATTTGATCTTCTTGTTCCAGCAACAGAGCCCCAGTCTTCTGATTTTCATGGCACAAGCTTCATGTTTGCCCAGGCTTTTGTTAGAGGAGGCTGGAGCAGGGGAGAAATAGGATTCTGAATCTGATCAAATTTATTGTGCAGCAACAATGATGTATGTTGAATAATATGCATGCACTTATATCTTGGCAAGGCACGTTTTACAAACCTCCAAAAGTCTAATAAAAATGAGATCACGCAACACTGAATAATGGCTATTATTAGGCAAGTATTAAAATAAAAGAGTCTGTTTGCCTCCTAATTTTTTCCCTTTGTAAAGCTGTACAAATAAACTAGATGTCCAGTGTATGTTACCCTCTTTCTAAAACTAATTGCATACAAGTAGTGTCTTTATACACACATTTTGTTTCTCTTGTAATTGAATGCCCAGTTCTTACACAGGTTATATGCTAGGGGAGCCAAATTTTAAGTTTATTGTGGGTTATTATTAACTTTGATTTCTCTTGAATGCTTTATATCATTAGATATTTCATTAACACCTTTTTGCATCTTAATCTGTACAAAATTTGTCCTAAATATTTACCATTCTTCTGAAGGAAAGCATTTACTAAATGTTCAGATAACACCACAGAACTCCTATCAATCAGATGCTAGCAATAAATGGCTCGCAAATCTTCAGGAAGCTTGAATTATACATTGAACCTCTTTCTGTAGCACCCCTATGAAAAATCTTGAAACCCAACTCCTTTTAGTTTCTTGTTTCATTTTTTGGTGTGTGATTTCTTTTTCTGAAGATTTCGTAAAATGAACAAACGTCTGGTTCCCAGAAGACCCCTGAGTGCCTCCTTGGGTCAGCTCAATGAGGTGGGCCTGCCTTCAGCAGCTATCCTCTCAGATGAAGGGGCAGTGGACTTGCCCAGTAGAAAATCCTCTGCCCTGCCGAATGGAATTGTGTCAACGGGCAGCACAGTGGCGCAGCTTATCTCACGAGGGACCGACTCCAGCTATGATTCAGCTCTGAAACCAGGGAAGATCGATCACCTGAGCAGCAGTGCCCCTGGATCCCCTCCTGACTTGTACGGGTCTTCCTAAATATTGTTCAAAGTGTTGTGTGTGTAAATGTGGTGGAAAAAATAAGGAACCCTAAATCCACCATAGAAATGAAACAATAATTTTCTGCAGTTTGCTTAAAAATGGTATAGAAAAATTCTGCTTACTTCCTGATTTCTATAAGGGAAAAGTGGTTTGAGCCATCAAAATACAGAGTTTTGAAAGGATACGATATTTACTTTACATTTGCTGTTTCAAGTGCTTTGAGGTGCATGATGCAGCCTAATTAGTAATGATGTCTTTCTACCTTAGGCTGGAGTCTGTCCCTAAGAGCTCACTTCCAGCCTTACCAGTGAACCCACATCCTGTGCCCACTAGAGGTCCAGCAGACCTGCCTCCGATGTCTGTCTCCAAGCAGATGCAAATGGTTCCACGAGGGTCCCAGTTATATCCTGCTCAGCAACCAGATATGTTTTATCAGGATCCTAGAGGAGCTGCCCCACCCTTTGACCCAGGACCTTATCAACAAGGTGAGTGTGCCAGGAACAGCCCTTTAGTCTTTTGCCCTCCTTTCAGTTCTGCTCTTCCTTCCCATCCTGGTTTTTCCTGATTTTTTTACTTGGCCCTTCAACTTTGTGTTTTCTTATGGTGGCATGAGGGTTAAAGGCTTTCTGTGCTAGCACGGAGTAAAGATTGTGGGTAAGCTTTAGTGATGAACTTTTCAGTCAGCCAAAAAAAATATATTTTTGTTGTTGTTGTAAGAGTTCAGCCAGCCACATACAAAGAGGTTTTTTTCTTGCATTAAGTGAGACTTCCTCTTTGTTTCATTTTGTTTTTGTTTTTTAGAGGTGTGTTCACTTAGTATAAAAAGATCACTCAAGAATGATTTGTTAAGTGCACTATATAAGATAGAGATCACAGGTTGTTGTACCTCAGTTTACTTATGGTAAATGGGGAGGGGGGAAACTGTGACAGGTACATATAAGGTTTCGCATGAAAATTACTTAGAGGTCCTTAAATAGAAGGTCCATAGGTACTTCAGTAATGTTTGCATCAGAGAGTAATAGGTGTGGAAGCAAAGAAAGGAAGGGATAGGAAACAAAAGAGGGATAAAATAGGGAAGCAAACAAGGAAGTAGTTATGGGTGAAGGACAGATTGGAGGAAGAAGAGGTTGCTAGAAATGAGAGGGACAAATGAAGAAAGTATAGCTTTAAAGAAACAGAAGGGTTCTCGTAATGCGTGGTAAATTGGGAGAGAAGACAAAACCAACAGAGAGAGAGAGAGAGAGAAAAGAATTAAAAGTGAAGCAGAGAATAAGTTTCTAGAAAAGAGCAGGCAGAATAAGTGAGAGACCTAAAGTAATAAAATGTTTGTTTGGCTTCAACTCTAAGTAAGAACCCTATCTATCTACAAACTTTGACCCAAAACATTTAATTTTGTGTGTATGTGGATTATCCAACAGGTTGGGGGGAAAAAAATCTCTGAAACCTTCATAAAACTGGGAACTTGAACCCTGTTTAGCTTTTTCTCTACAGGGCTTGAAGTCTATTCCTACATCTAGGGAGTGGAACCAACTTTTTCAGTTCATCTGGAGTCTTGGAAATCTGTCTGTGTAATGGCAGTAGCAAATACAGGCAAACTATGTTTTAATTTTGTTGATTTCTTGAAGGATGTTGCTCAGGTTGTCAGCACCCATTCATACACTCATAAAATGTTGAAGAGACCTGTACTGAGTTCATCCTTGTAGGAGAGAGAATATTATTCCTTTTGATCCATGCAGAAGAGAATAGGCTGCAGCAACTAATCTGTGCTGGGCTCAACATTCGCTGCTGAGGCTCCTCTCCTGCTGTTTGCTAGCTTTTCACTTTCCTGATGCCTTGTATGGTTCCCCTCACTTCCTGGATTGTGGTTTATTGCTTTCTCACTAATGCTCTCACTTTTCCACATTTATGTGAAAACTTACTATTTACAGCACTTGGAACATGCAGATATGTTAAAAAATTATTTGCTGCTCCTGTTCTTCAAGATGGCTGTAGATTGGGATATTTTGATCAAGCAATTGATGATCAGTGATGTTTCTGTTTTTTCCATTCTTGTTTCATATATTCAGGAGTGTACTATTCTACTCAGTCCTCGCAGTGCATGCCTCGTTTCGTCCGACCTCCATCAGCTCCTGAACCTGGTCCTCCTTATTTAGAGCATTACCCGGCTTATCTCCCGGACCGCGTGGTGAACTCCCAGTACACGCCACCACAACAGTATCCTCCAATGGGGCAACCCATTTACCCACCACACTATGACAGTCGTCGTGTGTATCCCCCTGCTCAACCATACCAGCGAGAAGATATTGTCAGAGGAAGCCCTGTGCCCATTGAAATTCCCCAGACAGCTGTGCCTCCATATGTACAGGAATCCAGGGACAGATACCAGCAAATGGAGGGTTATTGTCCAGTGGCTCCACATCTTGGTCAGATCAGACCTTCATGCCACAGAGTATGACTTAATAAATATATTTTATTTACTTCTGTCATCTGCTCAGAAAAAGAAAACAAAGTTATATTTGGTACATTTTCCTTCAGAGTTGAAATGCATTTGAGGGGGGGAGTTAAACTAAAAGCTCAGTTTTACGTAGGGCTGCATATAGAGCAGATGAATTTATTTCTTCCATCATATTTCTCCCTAAAAGGCAGTTTCAGACATACTGAGACTATTTGTGTATTGAGATACAATTCAACAAAGAGTTTTATTTGAGAATGGGGGGGAAATCAGGAACTTGAGTTGGCATTTTAATTGGAAATTGACTTAAATTATTAAAAAAGGAGTTAAATAATCTGAAAACTTCTGTTTTGGAGTTTTCCAAAAATCATTATTAATGTAGTCCTAGTAAGGTAGGCCATGTTCCTCCTCCTAGCCAAATTTCTAAATTAATCAGAACTACTTATGAATCAGCAGTGAAGTTGAATCTTGATAAAACACAGGACTCTGTACTAGTGACTTTAAGTATAGAAATGTTGTATCATCATCTTGGGAACCTTTGAGGTCCCTGGCTTTTTTGAGCTTTTATTTTAGCTAAACATAGTTTTATAGAGATTTTATTGCTGGAGATGGACTCTCTCTCATATGCAGAACAGGTACAGCATGGGCAAATAGGACTGTGTGCCTCCTGGCACAGACCATCTTTGACCTGAAGGATAATTCAAGAAGAGGACATTTGTTAGGGAAGTGGGAAAGTAATTCATGACCTATTCTGTATTTGGCCCCTTGAGTTGAGTGAGATTTGTCAAGTGGAATGGCAGTACAATACCATTTGGTGCTGAGGATATACATCTGATCAAAACTGGAAAAAGGTCAAATTTTGCTTTCCATAAACCATGAAACAGAATGAAAGCAATCATTCCACAACACAGCTGAATCCAAGGGGCAATGTGGAAATTAAAAGTTTGCTATCCTATTACCCAGTCTATGAATTACTTTAAAATAATTCATGGATTAAAATTTGCTATTCTATAAATTTATTAGTCATCCAAACTGATGAATCTGTTTGAGGTACAGTCCTGTTCATGAAGCATGATTAGTTAGGAGAATAAGATATACATTATACTGCTGCTGTTTTGTGTCTCAGGAATGACAGTTTGCCATTCTCTGTCTTGGAGCATTATGGTCATAAATGCACAAAGTAGTGTAGATTAAAATATTAATTTTTGGTCCTGGTGTGAATTTTGGATTTAAAAAAATGCTAGAACCAGTGGGCTAGATTTGGGATTTTCAACCTTTTTTAAGGAGGGTACCTCTTCTGGAGTGTACCCCGTTCCAGATGGGTGGGGGGTGGGAAGATGAAGCTGGCAGTGGCAGAGTGGTGAATGGTGGCAGTGGAGGGCAGGGAGCTCACACATAGCAGCCACCACCACCATTCACCATTGTGTGCTGCCGCCACGCACTGCTTCCCCCCACCACTGTCCCAAGTACCTCCTGGGACCGTCCGAAGTACCCCCAGGGGTTGACAACCCCTGGGCTAGATAGGGCTCCAAGTATTTTCGGTAATTTGATACCCTGTATTTTTGGGGAAGCTTGCATTATTGCCCACTTGAACTCTCTGTGGAGTAAATGACATTTCAGCCCGCAAGACGTGCAAAATTTCGTATGAAGAAAAGTCTTAATTGGTGCATTTGGTGTTAGCTGATCAATATTTTTTCCCCATGTTTCTCCTTTCTTTGTAGAATGGAATTGTATAGTTGTATGTAAAACAGCTTTTTACAAATGAATATCCTTTTTATGTTTAAAATTTTTAGGAGCCTTGTAATAGATTTCCATCTTCACCTCAGCCCCATCCCAGTCTGGATGAGCTTCACCGCCGACGGAAGGAAATCATGGCCCAGCTAGAAGAGAGGAAGGTGATCTCCCCACCTCCCTTTGCACCCTCGCCAACTCTGCCTCACACTTTCCACCCAGAGGAGGTAAGCACATTTTTAAGTAAGTCTTTGGGTTGCTGGTGTCATCAGAAATGGTCGTAGGGAGCTAGTGGGGTCAGAGGAAAAGCATGCATTAGTGGCAAACATTTTTCACGCTACTTGATCTTCTGAAAAGCTGAAATGATGGGCCTATTAAACAGGAAAGGAATTTTTTTTAATGGTATGAGGGAGATCTCTACAGGTATGAAGGGTCCTTATGGTGACATCTTGAGGAAATGATACTTGGCTGGCCATTAGTCCATTGGTCTGTCAGTAGTGCTTAGTTGTGTACAGGGATCCAGGTTTTCCGTTTCCCACAGGAAAATGGAGAAAAATGTGGATTTCTCGTTTTAGTAGAGAAATGCGTGGATTTTGCACTTCTGCAAAGAGCTCTCTACAGGCTGGTAGAGTTCTAGGCTGCAGAGGGCTGGGGGAGTGGGAGGAGGGTGGTCAGACAGGGTGTGCCATGTGCATGCCAGGCAGCCTGGAGTGCAGCTCCTGCAGGTAAGTCTGGCTGGGGTTGGGGATTGAGGCCCCCATAGGGAGGGAGTGAGTAGGGCAGGGCTGAGGCTGGGGCTGCTGCCCAGTCAGGCAGCACGTGCAGTTTGGGGCCCAGGACTGGAATGTCATGGAGCTGCGAGTGGCTTGTCTAGGGGATGAAGATGGGGCCAGCTCCCAGCCACAGTGCACACTTCTGGGGTGGGGGAGGCAAGTGGCAGGGGGACCTGTGCCCCCCAGATCTGTGCGCAGGGCAGGGGTGGGCTGTGGGCTCGGGCTCCCCACCCTGCTGCCTTTCCCTGGGGCCTCTGTGGCTCAGCGGGCGGGACCCAGCGTGGCAAGGCAGAGTGGAGCAGGGAAGCTCCTTGCCACTGTGAGCTCTGCCCTGCCCTAGTGACACGACCCTTCTCACTGGCAGCAGCAGGGGTGGTGGTGCAGGGTTGTGCCCCTCATTGATGCAGGATGGGCAGGGGGTGTCACCATGGGAACAGAGCTCACAGTGGCAGCAACATGCTTCCTTGCTCTGCCCTGATGCACCAGGTCTCACCTGCTCAGCCGTGGAGGCCCCAGGGTAGGGCAACAGGGTGGGCAGCCTAAGCCCACAGCGGGCAGCCAGCCCCCACCCCACACAGAGATCTGGGCAGGCATGGGTCCCTTGGCTGCCCCAAGAGTGCGTGCCAGGAGTGTGGTGGGGAGCCAGGTCCCCTGAACCCACAGCAGGCAGCCTGCACCCGCCCCCTTCATTTGGCTCTGCTCTGGCTGTGCCGTCCATGGAGGAGGGAAAGCTGGCATAGGCATCGGAAGGCCAGGGCTAACAGCTTAGCCCTGCCAAATGCAGGCAGCCCAGGCGCAGGCTCTGGGTGGCTGCAGTGGTGTGGCAGAGGCGCACACAGGCAGAGATGAGCAGCTGGAGCCTGCAGACGGCCAGGAACTCAGCCCAGCCCAGCAAGTGCAAGTGTGGAGCAGCACCCAGCAAGTGCATGTGTGGATGGGAAGGGGTGCAGGGGAGGGAAAGGGTATAGGGGGGCAGATCAAGGCCCCTGCCGGGGGGTGGGGGGAGGGTGTGAATGGGGCCCCGGGGTGGGTTGCGGGATGCTCAGTGTCTGGGTGGCTCATCCAGGGATGCAGAGGGGTTCCTGACACTGCGTGCACTCCTGGGGCAGCCACAGGGGATACATGCCCCCCAATCTGTGCTGTGTGCAGGGCAGAGGCGAGCTGCTGCTGCAGGCTACACTCCACCACCCCACTGCTGGTGCCCTGGCAGTGGCGTGACGCCACATGCCTCCCATAGCCGGGCAGGCAATGCAGCCAGCGCGCAGGAGGCACATGACATCGCACCACTCCTGGGGCACCGGCAGCAGGGTGCAGAGCCCAGCCCACAGTGGCAGCCTCCACCCTGCACACACATTGTTGGAGGTGCATGCCCCCATATCTGCCCCGGGGGTGCGCATAGCGGTGGGAGACAAACCATCTGGGCTCCAAGCGTCTTGCAACCCACCCCAGAGCCCCATTCACCCTTGCCTCTGTCTCTGCCTCACTTCCTCCTTCACCACAAGGGCCTTGATCTGCCTCCCTTATACCTCTTCCCCACAACAGACTTACTTGCTGGGAGGGGGCGGTGCATGTGCGTGCAATATATATAAGCTAAGCTTTCTGTTGTGGCTCTGGTCAAAATTCTGCTAGCTTCAAGTTAACTGTCACAGAAGTCGGCAATGCCTGTGATACGCCTCCTTCAACTTACTTACAAAACTAGGTTTTTTTTTCTCGACAGTACTTGGATGAAGACCTGAAGGTAGCTGGGAAATACAAAGGAAATGACTATAGTCAGTACTCTCCCTGGTCATGTGACACCATTGGCTCCTACATTGGAACCAAAGATGCAAAACCCAAAGATGTTGTGGCAGCAGGGAGTGTGGACATGGCGGTAAGTTGAGATGTAAGATTGTCAGTAATAACATAAATTGTAGAGACGCTCCTTTTCTTGCTTTGCAGAGTGACTGTAGCATGTGTATTTGAGCCCTAATGTATCATGCAGTCAAAGGGATAGCGTGAATGTTTGCAGCAAAGTTCCAGTACCCAGAATTACTTCCAGGATAGTTGCAGATGCAATGTGATACTGAAGCTTGATACTGACTATGCATTTCAGCACTTTTCTGACTCTTCTTTACTGTGCAGTCAGTTTGCCATTAAAACCATGACTGTCTGCAAGTGATCTCCTTTATGGGATGAAAATACTCAACGTTTTTCATTAAAATGCAATAGCAACACAGGCAATATTCATGCAGCCTACTGAATAGGAAGGTCCTGGTGCTGCTGTATTTTTTGTAAAGACTGTTTTGCCTGAAGGCTTGTCAGGGTATTGCATTTACCAGCTATCCCTGGTCTGAACTGTACATTTCTGGAGGGGGTTTGTTGTCAGCTTCTGTTCCTCCTCTGCATGTAGTCAGTCTTTCTTAGTTCCCTCCTGTCTTCTTGGAAGCAGATGCTTGGGGCTCCCCTCTGCTGAGTTTACCCTCTTTCTGGACCTCAGCTGAGCTATATGAGGAAGCTAATATGAAATATATACCATATTTTCTTGCATACTACATATGCCTTTCCCCCAAAATCAGCCCCCAAAATTGAGGTGCATGTCTTTGATCAACTAAAACAGGGAAGCTGATTTTTCTGCCTGGAATAGAAGCAGAATCCCACCCTGCTGACTGTCACCCACTTATTTCTGCTTTAAAACCAACTACTCAGTAGCAGCAGTGGCATTTCTAGTCAGGTAGCTGAGGGACACCATTGACCTGGTGGCTTTTTGTTCTTAATTCCACAGGTGTGTGTTTCCTTTTTAATGGTCTTGATATTCCACTAATTAAGCTAACCTTTATTCTGGCAAATTTGCTGTCTGGTAGCTATTCCTGGTCCCTCCTTTTCTATTTCCCAGCCATACAGACTTTTTAACACTTTTCAAAATTGTAGATCCACCTATGGAGACCAGTCTTCAGAAGCAACTAGGGTTTCAGTATTTCACTAAGCAAGAAAGAGAAACTTAGTGGATTAAAGATTAAGCCCTGTCCCTGTTCCATGAAGCCATAACATTTGAAAAATCTTTTTTTCTTCGTTCTCCCTTCCCAAAAGCAAGGTGCATGTCTTGAAGTATGCACTGCACAAGAAAATGCAGTGTTTAGCAATACGAGCTGTATGAAATAGTGGAGATAAAAGGGGGCTTCCTCCCAGAAAAAGCAGAGTAAGGAGGGCTGAAAATTCCTTTCCTCAGCAGCTTTGGACAGTGGGTTAATTTGGTTTAATCTGCAGTTTTCTGCCATATCTTTTATGTTTGTATTTGGCAGAACTGTTACATTCTAAACTTGAAAAATGGTACGAGATACTCAAAATGGAGCAAGTGGTATTTGAGAGGAAGAGAGAAAAGCCTCTTTTTCTTATCACCAAGAAGGGAGTTCCTCTCAGACCCTTATGTTGGCTAGATTAGTATGGTTGTTGTCTCACAGCTCTCAGCTTTCCACTGAAAATGCTTCCCAGTAGACTTCCCCAGCCATAGCAAGTAAACTCCTTAGCCTTTTCTGCACGCTCCGTTCAGAGTGCTTGCATTTTGTATTGCCGATGTCCTCCCCCCTTTTTTTTGTAAGATACCCTGGTCCTTCCATGTATTGATGATGTCCCAAATATTTGTCACCAGCAGATTTCATTAACATATACTTACCTACTTTTATGACAGTCATTAGTGAAAATTATTTAGTAATATTGATATCATACCTGATGATGTATTGTAGAACTCCACTAGTAACCACCTTCAAGTCTTGTAGGCTCTCTGCTTATTACTAATATCCTTTTTGAATTGGTTATTCATTCAGTTAGTTCCTTTTCCACACAAGTTTTTTCCTTTACTTTGGATGCAGGTAGTATCCTATGCAAGGTGCACCAGCACCTTTTTTAAAGAGATTCACAGCCTCTCCTACATAGCTCCTCAGTCCAGCTAACATCTTTAATTGCTTCCTTAAGTTTGAGTCTTCTGAAAATAAAAAAAATAAAAAAACCTTGGAAGAACAAAATAGTAGGTTTGTAACCGTTTAATATAAATGGACTTAAGCTGGACTGTGCGATCAGATCTTCTATAATGTCTTTACTATTTAAAAACAAGTCTAAAATAACAAATCCAAAATCAAATCATGGCTCTTGATCTTGAGAATTTAAGGGTAAACATTTGACTTCTCCTTTCCTGGGTCATTTGTATTTGTGCTGGAAAAGAAACAAGTATGAACCATCTCCTTGATTAGAGAACACTCATCCACGCACAGATGAACTGGATTCTGACAGAAGTACTCTACCAAACAATGACTGCCATTTAAATGTAAGATGAGGCCATTGGCTGTATAGAGAGCTGTGATTGTCTTCCATCTTTGGAAGAATGTCTCTTTACCTGTTCTCCTCCTCCTCTGGTATAATGCATCTGATCTTCTTCTCGTCTTCCTTTCCCTTGTCATGGTTGGCCTTGATCCTTCTTAGTTTCTTCACAGTTATTACTTTCTTCTCTGTGTAATCACTGCTATTCAGACTCCTTTAGTTAACAGTGGTGGTAGATAACATTGCAAGCTTGATCAACTGAAGTGGCTATGTCCAACTGTGGAAGTTCTGAACTGTGGAACAGCGAGTCTGGCTGGAGACAAGGACTAAGAGGAGGAACAAAAAACAAAAATGCCATATATAATAAACTTTTTCCCTGCTACTTGCTGGTAAATCGTGGAAAACACCAGTATGGACCATATTTTTCAAGTCTGTCAGGTGAACAAAAATTGCCTATACTAGTATTTTCCATGATTTGCCAGCAAACAGCACAGAAAGAGAAAGTTTTTACTCTCCTTAACTTAGGTTGTCGGCTTTAATTTTTTTAAATTTCTTGTTCAGAATGTAGATAATAAAACCATTCGTGATCAGCGGTTGGACATGCAGAGAAGAGCAGCAGAGACGGGGGATGATGACCTCATCCCATTTGGAGACCGGCCAACTGTATCGAGGTTCGGGGCCATCTCGCGTACTTCCAAAGCGATGTACCAGAGTTCTGGCCCTATGCAGGCCATGGCAGTTCAGGGAGCTTCCACCAAATCTATGAACATATCAGGTATAATTTGTGTACATAAATATTTCTTTTACCATAGCTTTTCTTTTAACTTTTCAATGTAGTTTAAGTAAAAAGAGATACCCCTGAAAACTTAGGTGAAAATTTAAATGGTAGTTGATACCACCAAGCTCTAACTATAGAACATAGAAATGGAAAAATATGGTATCTCTGTAAATACAAGATATATTTGGAGGCTTCCTTTTTCTCATGTTGTATATGGAATTGAGCCCTACCCAGTGGGGCAGCTCCCAGCTTCCCTTGGGAGACTGTACCAGAACCAAAGGGATCTTGGTATTTGAAAAATTTTTTTAACAGGTTTCTCAGTTTTCTCCCATTGCATTCTCATTCTCATACTAAAGAATCTTTTCTCTCTGTTCTCAACCATCTGGATGTATATCTGATATAAGACTAAGAGAGGTGGTTAGCTATGTTAGTCTAGATTCAGGCAGAAGGTAGGGCAGGGTGGTAGTTTAGAACAGGGATTGTCAACCTTTTTAGACTCAAGGCACCTCTTGGAAAATGCATGGACTTAGATTTTTTTTTTATTTTTTTTTTTTACTATGCAGGGTCTTTATCCCCACCCGCCTGCTTGTGTACACCCCCTAGGGCCTTCTGAAGTACCCCCAGGGGTACGTGTACCCCCAGTCAGAGATGACCTGAGCAGGGTGCAGAGCCCAGGGCAAATCAGCCTGTGCGGGGCCCCACCCCAGACGGAAAGAAGCTGGCGGCAGATTTGGCTGTAGGGAGCGGGGTGCTGAGTGGCCAGGTGCGAAGCTGGTGGCAGAGGCGCTGAGTAACCACGGCCACTCTGCCTGGCTCCGTGGGGCCCCCCAAAGTGCGGGGCCCAGGGTGGTTGCCCCAGTTGCCCCTCCCCTGGACTAGCCCTACCCCCAGTTGACAACCCCCTGTTCTAAGGTGTCATCTTGCCCTTTGGCAAAGGTCAGATTTCCAGGATATGTTGTTAGTGTGCTCTGTGATTGGTCTCATTTATGTATTCATCTCTGGATTGTTTATCAAATGCTTTTTTTTAGCTTGAATCACTGTAACATGGAATTGATTTTCTGGATAAATCCTCCTGTTCTTTTGCAGATTACAGTCCATATGGAACTCATGGTAGTTGGGGAAGTTCTCCATATTTACCCCATCAAAATATACCTTCTCAGGGACGGTTCAGTGACAGGTGGAAATATTTATATATATATATATATATATTTACTTATTCTGTGTGCACTAGTCCTTTTTTACCAAACTGAGCAAAGCTATTAATGGCGCATCTTCTCTTTTTTTTTCCTGATCCCTTTCCTGCCCTGAAAGGGAGAGGTTATCCATGTCAGACATTACTGGTCATGGGAAACCTTTGCCCTCAGCTGAGAGGGAGCAGCAGCTCAGATTGGAACTGCAGCAGCTAAACCATCAGATCAGCCAGCAGACACAACTGAGAGGACTAGAGGTTTGTACCTGTGTCTTTGAAGAGACAAGAGATGAAGTGGGGGGAGAGAGAGAAAGAGAAAGCTGAAGTTAAATATGCCTATGAAAAGCCATTTATTCTTCCTTTAATGTTTTGAACTCCATAATATCTGGCACCAGGGTTTTCCAGCACTTCAGCAGAAAGGAAAACTGCCTTACTGTACATCAACAGGAACTGTAGACTTTTTTGCACTTAAAATCTTTAAAAACGTTATTTGCAACTTAGTTATGATAGCATATGATGTTTGTACAACATTCATGCTTGTCCTCTTTCTCTGTCTTCTCTGGGCTTAAAGTCTGCAGGAATGTTGGGAGAATACATATAGATTATTTTATTGCTCTTGGCTTTTCAGCCTTTGACAAAGTCAGTTTCTATATTCAGAAAGCTGAATGTTTTGTCTGTGTCCTTTTGGCTTTGTTGTGGAAACCTTTTCTTCCTAAACAGCACAAGCCACAAACCTGAACAAAATAGATATTGAAGATATTAATCTTTTGGGCCCCAAAGGTTTTGTTTTGAAGTCAGCTCTCCCTAGAATAAATATAATTTTGCTGGGGAGGATGGAATGGGAGTTTATTTGTAAAAACAGATGATGAGCAGTATCTATAGCTTTTTCATTTTGTAGGATTTTGCAGCAGGAGAAGTTTTAAAAACACAGGGAAGGTGTTTTTTCTGCAGCAAAGTTGCCATCTCAATTTAGTAATGATTTTCCTAGAAAGGGAAATATTAATCTCCTTCAGAAAGAATTAAAAGGTACCTTACAGCTAAACAAATTGAGGTTTTTCCCCAGCAAGAACATTAGAGAATAGTTTAGAAGTCTTTGCTTAAGCTTAATTAGCTGAGATTCTGCTTTCTAAAGCAGGGGCTCTTATTGTGGCTTTATTATGGAGTTCACAATATTTGAACAGCAACTGCAAGAAGCACACATTTCTCAGTAACTTGAAAAGTGACTTGTGTTCTTGTTCAGGACCAAGAGGAGAAATTGCTTCTTTTAAAAAAAATGTGCCTGTTTGCCTTTGCCATAATGGAAGAGTATTGGAAAGTTCCAAAACCCCTACCTTGTTTGGTTCCCTAGGTAATGCCATAACTGATTTTGTTTGCCTTCATAGTCGAAGCATAATCATTTAGGATGTAACTATAATGATTGTTGACCCTTTAGAACAAACCTGTCATCCAGGTCTTTGAGATTTGGCTATTATCTTGGTTTCAGATGCAACCAGATATTTAGAATTCAGCGGGCTTGCTCCATTGAACTGCTACAAGATTAAGTGAAAGCTAGGAATAAAACAAGTGTGATTGCATGCGTTTTGCTCAAATGACCAGAAGAATCTGTGCTAGATTCTCAGTAGTTCATACTGGAAGGAAGGGTGATCTTGTATTAAATACTCCTTTTTTTTTCTTCTCTTTAAAAAAAGCAAAAAACCCTTCAGTTGCATGTAAGAGATTTCCTTTAAAAGTGTGTTTGGAATTGTTTTCAGTCAAGACCCTTAACTTATAAGGGAAGAGAAGACTTCAGTTTTGCAACTAGGCAATACTCCTGAATTATGGCCTTGTCCCTCTTCGTGCATGAAGTGTTTTGTGTGCTCAGTTGTATGTGCTTGGCTTTATGCATTTAGGCTGCTAGTAACAGGCTGCTGTTGCAGAGGGAGGCGACTACCCTGGCAGGCCAGCCACAGCCCCCACCGCCACCTTCTAAGTGGCCTGGAATGATCTCAAGTGAACAGCTGAGTTTGGAGCTTCATCAGGTGGAGAGGGAAATTGGGAAGAGAACTCGTGAGCTGAGCATGGTGAGTGCTATGGGTATGGGAGGCAGTGAGATGGGATGCAAAGCTGCTTGGTTTGCTGCAGCACTATAACCCTTGTGATAAGGCTCTCTGCTGGATGACTGTTATCACTCTCATCCACTTCCTGTTTTTTGTTGAGAATTTCTAAATAAGCATGTTTATTTAGAATTCAAATTCTGTACAAGTAATTTATCTGCTTAAAGTACTCATTTTTTTTCTAGCCCCTTGAAAGCAAAAGTAGAGCTGAACTTATAATTGGGCAACTAGGCACAAACTCTTATGCTCAGATTTACTGCCCAGTTATTTCTCTGAGACCATGGATGGGCTAGTTGTGCTGGATAATTTGTATAATACTTTTGACATTCCATCCAGGAGAGGGCCAGCATCTAGTACTCTTTCAATATTACACATCCTTATTTTTGCTTCTCCTTGTAAGGATCAGTCCTTTCTTCGGGAAATTCTGTATCCTGAGAGAATGGACAGATTCTACTGAGTTGACTTCTGTGTCTTATGGCTTTTGTGAGTTGCTTTGTGCAAGATTGTTAATTTACAGGCATTCTTCTCTGGCCTCATGGAAGGAAGTAACAGCCTCTTTGTACAGTGCCACAACATTATTTTCTTTCATCTTTTTTTCAAAGGAGAGCCAGTCTTCACTGGATATGAAAAGCAAATTGGGCACCAGTAAACAGACAGAAAATGGACAGCTAGAGCCGCAAAACAAGGTTCCGGCTGAAGATCTGGCACTGACATTCAGGTAATTCATGATCATTTCCAGTGATCCATAGAATACATTTTCTGTAGATAACTAATAGGTTAGTTGGGACTGTCCCTTTGGATACAAGGAGCAGCTGCTGCATTTCCAACATGCTTTATAAAGACTATATGGTAGTGAAGAATGGAGTGATTCTATTTATAGTGTTAATGTGAATTTAGGATGATTCTATCTGGCAGGAGTGCAGTGAAGTTGCACATGAATTGTTAATTGTTTCCAAATAGAAAAAGAAAAAAATGTCGTCTTATTAGTAGGATTGTTTTGGGGACTTGCTCCAAAATGTTGATGTAGTCTATGAAGATATTCATAGTCAGGATAGAACCCCCTGACTTTGCATCTGCATAATGACCACTTGTGTATTTTAACAAGAGAGCCACATCTGCACTAGACAGTCATTACAACACACTGTTGGCTAGAATGTTACAGGAACCATCTTAGAAGCCTCTTAAAGCACTGGTTATAGCACCAAGGCTGAGGTCATTCGTTCAGATCTGATTAAAGTGTTTTGAAAAGAGAGGCGCACATTTTTTAGTTATTTTAGGTGAAACAAGTCTAGGTAAATTTAGTTGAGTATGGGACCAGTCTGGATAGGTCCTGCATACTCTTCACAGCATCTCTTCTCAGTCACTGAGATATGGGATGCTAAGCTAGATGGACTTGTGGTCTGACTCAGTATGTCATCTCTTAGTCTTATGAGCAGTTTGAATCTAGATGGTAACTCAGTGGATGAAAATCAGTTTTTGTTTTTTTTAGTTTTTTGGTTGTCTGGGGTTTAGCTTTACAACCCAATTGTTATAAATCTGATTTACATATCAGGTAAGTGGTAGGAAAATGCTGAACCTGGGATGTGATGTTGCTATATGCACACTAACTCTACTTTTAAAGAGAAAATTCAATGCAATATAGAAGTCATTCTGGCCTCTAAAACTAACTACAAAGAAAAATAAATCACTAAAATATTAACATTTTAGATTTTTAAAGATAATTCAAACTTCAAGATGGTAGTTTCTTTAAAGTTTGATACTATCACTGTTTTATGAGCCTCTTAGAGGGAGGAGTGTAGAAAGCATTTAATTACACAGAGAAATGAGATTGTTTCGGTGTGGTTTAAGAACCATAAATTCAGTTGCATATAATTTGCATATGGTTTGCTTAGAAGTATTTAACACTATTGTAGTAATACAATTACAGTTTCCATCTGAGCTATGGAAACAGTGACAAGTATTTCTAAATACTATTCTGAAACTTGGCTATTTTTAATATTTTAGGCATAGAATAGTTTCTGAAGTGTATAATTTGTGCACTAATGTACATTTTATGATATATTGAAATATTTAGTAAATATAATTATTATAGAAATTCTAAAATTATTCCTTTCCAGTAGTTTTGCTTCCACTTGTTACTATCGACACTTCTTCTTTCTGATGAGTATCCAGGAATCGTAGAAAATTCATTTTCTAGGCATGCATATGCCAGTTTATGCAAATTCACAAATGATTGTTGCAGCACTTTGGCAACAAATATTCAGGGCTTGCTCTTTCACTCTTTCAAATATTTTAAAATCCTCAACCCCTTTTTCATTCCACATCATTCCTTTAGCAGTGATGTTCCAAATGGATCAGCCTTGACACAAGAGAATATCAGCCTCCTTTCAAACAAGACCACATCTCTGAGCCTGACAGAGGACCCAGAGGGTGGAGGAGACAGCCATGACTCCCAGCGAACAGGAGTTACACCCACCTCTGCTCCATGAAGTGAAGAAAGCATCTCCCAGAAGTTCCGCTGGGGGGTGTTGGTTGCTTTTGTCATGTTCACTTCCAGGGGTGATCAGAGAAACCCAAGAATAACAACAGCAGCAGCAGCGAGTCCGGAGGCAATGTGCATAAACACCACTCCTAGAAACAAACCCTGCACATAGTTCACATTAATGCGTTTTTTAATTAAAAAAATGAAAATTAGCAGTATCTGCAAGCAATTCAAATTAAATTTGTTTTTGTTCTGTGAATGAACTTTATTTTAATAACATTGGACGCCTTGGATCCCAGGGCTTAAAAAAAAGATATTATATATATATACTCTGTTTGATTAATTGTATGATCTTAATGAAGTAGGTTTTTTCTTTTACTTTGTATTATTACATATCCAGTGTATAATTTCTTACACCTTCACTTCTGAACAACCAAAACAACCTGGCCACTTCCTTGTATGAATTTAAAGGTGAATGAGGGTCATGAAATGGAGGGAGGCCATAAATTGCAGTATCAGAAAAATGTGCAGCAATCTTCATTTCTGAAAGAATTTCTCTTTAAGTAGGAACTCTCTCCTAACTTACACAGTACATCTTTCTGACTATACCTGTTGGCTTTAAACAGCAGTCAATACAATCTTCTCAGTTCAGTGTAAGCATTCCATAACACCTACCCCATTACAAAATGTATATCCTAGTGTATGAGTTAACCAACAGTAAAGAGAATTCAGCGTTTGCACATCATTTTACTTGGACTAGGAGCTAGTATAATGCATCATTTTGTTGTTGGGACTAAAAAGTTCCTTGCAAGACAAGTAGGCCTAAACTAATCAAAACTTACATGCTTTGGATTTCCAAGAGAAATTGAAGAAGTTGCATTTCTTGCTCCTGAGCTTTAAGTACTTGGCTAACAAGTGGTTGTCATGGTGTAACATGACAGGCTACAAAATGTCTCTTCCTAGAAAAAGGAAGAAAGACAACACATATGTTATGGAAGGAAAATAACTAAAAATCAATTTGCAAAGACTTGCTGCCATCCATTATTTAGGAAGATGAAAGTTTCCTCTTTTTTCTTTTCTTTTTTTAAATGAATGGGATGATATCAAGGTTTGTCTCAAAGAAACGGACCATTTATTATGGAGCTGATCCACAACCCATTGAGCTAAACTAGTGAAAAAACTTCCATTCCTTTATGAGCTTTGGAACAGGGCTTTCATTTGTATATTTTTTTCAAATTTAAAAAAAAAAACCCACCCCTGCCTGCCTTCCATGTTTTTGTCACTGCTGCTCATGTATGTATGTATGTATGTATGTATGTATGTATATATACACCACTGATATATACATATATATGTCTTATGCTTTTATAATTTGCTATTCCCAGTCTGATATTTTTTATAGTCCCTAGTATGTCGGTCATTTATTTTTGGCCTTGAAGTTTTCTTGCAGGAGGAGACGGAGAATGTAAAATTGATGTGTAATAGATTTGGTAATTGGCAATTTGGTGAAAATAAAGGAGGCACTTGGTTAGCTCATATATACTATAATTAGGCAGCAATGGCTGAAAGTTCAGTGTCATGGAATCCTTTCAGGAGCAAGCTGTCTTTTTTTTCTGTTGAAGTTTCATCCAAAAATTATTCTTCAGGTGTAATTGTAATACTGTCAGAAACATTTACAGGTACTTGGAAGTTGAGAATTTTTATGACAAATGTAATCTTCTCCATCTTCCGTAGAAGGTGGACACTAAGGAGATACTTCCTTAAGTGGAATATGTTAACAGCATTTTTAAAGAAGTTACAAACCTTCCCAGCTGTGTGTTCTATTGAGGAGTTCTCCTAAAAGGTCACAGAAATGAATGAGGTTTTGCTGCACATATTTTGACCTTTTCTGCCTGTACTGGGCTGAGATCCTCTGAATGGAAAGCTCAATACTGGTTCCTCCTATTTCCTTGTTTTCCTTTCGGGACTAGACTACTAAAAAGAAAGCACTGGTTATGTAATAAAATTACTGCATTGCTTTGGTTGGGTAAAGCAAGAGTTAATAATTTTCTTGGTTTTTCTTTTTTCTCTCTTTTTTTGGTTTAGGGTTTTGTTTTGTTTTTCTTCCCCCTTAACTCCTGCTGAGGTCATAGCAACCTTGGGCTAAGCTTTGCATCCATCATAATGTTAATTAAAATAAATTTGGGGGGGAATACAGTCCCACTATTGCCTACCAGTAGGAGAGTCCAAACAGAAGACTCTTTTGAGTAGCGATTATTTAATTTGCCCAGTCAAGGCACCGCATTTATACTATTTCACATTGAATTTGATTATGCCCTACAGACCTGGCTGGTCAAGGATTTGATACACATATTGGCTTGGGATTCGAGCTTTCTTTTTTATTTAAATGAAATTTATATATAAACATATATATACAGATATACATAGTTATATCTGTATATATATTGGGTATGTTTTAAGAATTTTTTCGCATGAGCGCAGCTGTTGTGATCAAATGTCTGGGAGGAAGAAGCACTGAACAAAGATAAGGCATTTTCAGCTCCCCTCCAAACTCTCTACATTCATGCACAAGTTTTTCATTCTTGGTTGAATTTTAACATCTTTATTGCCAGAGAAGGTAGTTTTGAGGTTTTATTAATTTTTTTCCTTAATTTGTGGTGAAGAATCTTTTCTGCCCTGAATTCTTTCCATCCCTGCTACTTTCCCCTAGTCATGCATGTTTGCGCTTCACATCCTGCTTTGAAGCCTTTTGGTATGGTCCTTATCTTTCCATGAGGAAGATCAGGCCATCTCTGTGGAAAACTTGTCTGCTCTGTTCCTTCAGTCTCCCCGGTACCATAAGCTTTGTGCAGTCTTGGCATTGTGCTGGTAAATGAACTGACGTGGGGGCCCATGCTATTGTCTGCAGTCTTTAAATGCAGAGACCTACCAGCAGGTCTGCCATCACTTCATTAATTTTTATGAAGCTGATCATCTGCTACGTCCTTATTAATGCTGGAGCACATTTTAGTTGCAACAGTTAGTGCACTATTTTAATCTAGGAGGACAAGCTCCAAGTACAGTTATTGTCTCTCAGCTACAGAAATCAACTTTACATAAAAGGTTTTAGTGTCTTGTCACAGCAAATTCACCTTAAATCTTGAAGAAGAAGAATCTGGTCCATCATCACTTGTGCCAACTGGTTTCCTATTCAGAACTGACCTGATTGTTTCTAGGCCTAGGGGAAATAAAACACTACAATAAGAACAGGTCAGATCATCAAGGTTAAACGCTTCTCCATTTATGGATTTGAAAGGGGACCTTAATGTTGATTTTTGTTTTTCCTCCCTCACCACATTTTACTGTACTTTGTGCATAGTGTCCTTGTGATGATCAATCAGTCCAGGTGAATGCCCTGTTTGCACAGCATTGTAGTTTGGCTTATTAACTGTTTTTTGTTTAATTATCTACAAACTGTATTGATTCTGGCTTTGTTTCCTCTTCTCCTGTTGTCCTTTCCCAGTGTTTCTTTACAGAACTTTAGCTGCTGAAACCAGTCAAATAGGGAATCAGAAAAAGGCTTTAAATCTTTATGGAGGTTGTATAAAACTTTCTTTCTATGAAAAATGCCAGAAGAGCTGGGAGAATTGATAACTGTTCACATTGTATAAGAGGTGATTGTGAAGCAGACTGAATTTCACAGTTCTGTCTGTATTGACCACTTTTTTGTTGACTCCTTCACTTGTGCCCCATGTCCTTCACCCGCGCCCAGTCTCTGTTCCAGCTATACTGGAATTCTACCTACTTTGGTCAAATGAAACCCTGCTAAACCCTGGTTTTAGATCCTGCTCAGACAAGAGTAAACCGTATTACAATGGTGCTTGAACACTATTATTGTGTGGTAGGTAAAATAGATTTCTTCATGCAAATAGCACCTTCAAGAGGACTTCGGTAGCCTGGTTTCAGTTACAGCGGAGACAGTCTGTGGGGGCAAACTGGGAAGCTTCAAATGGCAGGCTAGGGTACACAGTGCCAGATATAAATTATTGGCCCACTCTAGTTTAGAAACATTTAATTTGTCCTGTAGTAGCATAGGTGACTTTATTACCCCAACACATACTTCTTATTCATTTCATGTGACCTAATTCATTAACAGTATAAATCTGTAAGTTCACTTTTGTAAGCTGCCATATCCTATTTCAGAATAGAAAATAGAAATCCTATAGATCTGAGGACCTTTCAGTCTTGCAGTACTGTTACCCGCCTTAACCTCAAATTCTTTTTAAGCTGTCGGCTTCTCCTGAACCTGATTCTCTCCCTCTTTCTTTCCTTCTATGGTTTGCCCATTATTCTCCCTGATCGTGCAACAGTGACAGCTTGCTGCCTCAAAACAGAGCATTCAAATGAATTCGCTTAGCCAATAACTTCTGTGAAGTTGCCTTTTCTAATGGTGTTATTACTCAGTGATGCACAAATGTGATATTGCCCCTACTGGTAGGCAAACGGGATCTGTATAAACATGGTAAACTGTTGTTTTTCTTTAATGGAGAGCCAAAGACTTGTGCTTTACACTTTACTTTTTTTCTTTTACTGGAATAGTCATTTTGGTTGTGAAATATTTTGAGTTTTGAGAGTTGACTGTATTATCCTAATAGAAATTTGCAAAGTTGTTGATTGTCAAGCCTTATACATATTTAAAATAATGGGAAGTCATCACTTCATCTGGTTGCACAATATGTGAAGGGTGTGTTTAAGCACCTAATGTGTTTGGAGATTTTTAACTTGTTCTTATATCCACTCCCATGCACTCTCCCAGCCCAGGATAATTTACAGGTAGGAGAAAGGGCTTAGAAGTGTCAGTAGTCAAGCCATGTCTATAAAAATTAAGCCTAGACTAATGTGTTGATAGCTAGCTTAAAGTTAAAATTACTAAAAAAAACAAAACAAAAAAGAAATGCTGGTGAAAGGCAAGTCCGTATTGCAAATGTGACTTTTTGCTGACTTCCAAAGAAGTCCATTTAGACTGAGAAGATTTTATAGCATTATGTTAAATCTGATATGGTAGAAGCAGACTTTTATGCAAGGATATTGCCTGTTGACAACAAGAATTTAATATTATCTGTGACACATTCATTGAACCACAAAAAATAGGAATGAGCTGTTTAATATGATATACAGTAAAGCCATTTATTTCTACTTTCCTTGAGCTCATTTATTCTCTTGCAGATTGTTCTTAGGGTTCAGAGAGGAATCCTTAAGCAATAAAAGTAACAAAGCCATCACCTTCTTGCTGTTTCCATTCATGAGTGCAGAACCTCTAAAAAATAAAAAATAATAAAATAAAATAGCAGCAGCAGTTTCAGGTCTGTAATAAGTATGTAACTACAGGGGTAGCTTTCATAAGAAAAAGAATCCTGTCAAAAAGATATATTCAGTTAAATAACAACAAACTCGATTCTTAGGGTTCATGATAATAAGTGCAAAACGTCAGAGGGTTCCGAAGCA